CTTTGTTGCTGGTTTATTTCTGTGCAGATGCTTTATGTGTGTTCTTTGGATAGTCTCTGGAGGACGAACACTGCGATACTTAAACTACTTCATTGCAATGGGTAAAGGCAATGATGTACTCGCAAACTTAACCACCAACCCACGACGCTGTCTGGATATTGCCGGAAAGGAGTCAGAACACCAGTAGAAAATCAAGCCGAAAGAAAAAGAAGACCACTCATCAAGTGCGCAGTTGCATCCACTCATGGATGCAGGATGCTAAGTTATGCATCATAATGGAGCACCTCCATTTCCAACATCGTTATCCCTTTTGGAGGCTCCTTTAGTTTGGCGAATTTATCTTTGCTGCATGAGAGAGCACAAAGGTAATAAATGGCTATATGGTCACAGTGACGTGTTGATCTATTTCCTGTTCGGGGTCCGGGCGTAAGTCGCCTCTTGCGAACCGTTCTTCGCTGTAAAACTTTGCCTTAACAGTACGCCCGCCAAAAGCGCGTCCGTTGAAAGTCAATAAAGCCCTTGTTGCTTCTTCCTTCCTTTCATACTCGCAGAAGATGCGCACTGCGCAGTCGTCTGGCACCCCAGCTGCTTCGAAAATACGAACTTGCAGCAGGTTCCCAAGTTTCGCTGCCTCCTCTTCCGTTTCCTCTTTTAGGTCTGAGTCCACTTGACCCCTACCAACCATGTTTAGCAGCAACAGGATGCGCGTTGGAGCCATATTGAATGTCACTGCCCGGGGTACTTGGCCTAAAGTCGTTACGTCCTGACCCTGCCGTGCAACACCACAAACACTCTTGACCAATATTTCGTAAAAGATTAGCCTGTAAAGTGCCATGTCGCACGTAAAGCATTTGGGCATACAGAAAAATACAAAGCCCAGCACTGTCTAAATGGGATTCACAATACGAAACCACAAAACAAATACAGTCAGCACAGCCTTCTCATTAAGGGAATCTCCGTTATTTGACGAAGTTTTCCGCCTGTCCATATATTCACACTTTCGCCCAAAACAAAAGATCCTCTATGGACAGGACGCGAGATAAGTTCGCCTACGATGGAAAAAAAGTTCGACCTTTTTGATACAGAGTACCAGAGGTGCTTTCTATGATAACACGGTATGGATGTGCAGGCTAAGGACGCAATGATCCAATAAGTGAAAAATGGTAATTCACACTGGCGCACCAGGCAAGCACTGCATAGTAGGTCCCCTCGACATTACAAGCAGGATAGCGGTCGACTCCAGTGTGAAAAACTTGTCCTCCATACGAATGCAGTAAGCGAGCTTATACCCAACTGTTCCTTTGCTCATGCGTACCTGAACAATAATGCCGCTTCTCATGGCTGTCTTCCTTGCCACGAGAGGAGCAGTAATTCCTTGTTTGTTTGCGCCAAGTCCCTCTCCCTGCTTCCAGCCCATCTTTTCCATCATGCGCGCAGCAAAAGTCTTCTTGTTGGGATCGATGTAAGAGGGGAGAAGAGGGGCCTGAGGCTCAGGGGAGGTCACCGTTTCTCCGCCGTCACCCGCTGCACCTGCTCGATTGAAGAACAAAAAACATATTGCTAAAACATGCAGCACCGCCGACCACAAATCAGCACTATTAAAATACTACAACGCGCACCCACGCCAGTTTTCATTCACTGTGTGAAACTGTGCAAGGCAGGTCGCAAAAAACGGCGGCAGTGAGCCGGACAACCCTTACCATTTCGAGCAGCCTCCTCATCGTGCTTCTGCTTTTCTAATTCCTGCTGCCTCAATCTTTCCAGCTCCTCTCTTTGCTGTTGCCTCATTTTTTCTTTGTGTATGGCAGTGTAATCGTTGGGCTTTGACGGATCATATTCTTGTGGCCAGAGGCCAACGGGAACCCATGTTGTTGGGTCTAAGGGGCTGCTGCTTCCCACAGTTACAGACACTACATTAACGATAGGCTCTGTCTCATTATGGCCCGACTCTGCTCCTCCTGCCCCGACATCACCAGCTTTGGCAGAACTTCCTGCAGCTGACGCAACAGCCCGCGAGGCAGCACCATCTGGTTTTTGTTCCTCCGCCAAGACTCCGGCATGCAACTTCTTGAGCCTTTCTAGAACAAGAGCAGCATCCGCTGCAGCAGCTTGCACGTTTAACGATGGAGACGACTTCGGTGCTGCTTTTGCCATAGTTTGCCGTCGCACAACAGCCGGGGTTAGAAGTTTCAATCGTTGAGCCGCCCACATGGCGCTTGTTGAGCTAGAAACGTCTGCTGAACCTGCAACTGCAGCAGCACCAGCCGCTGCTGTGCCCGTAGTGGCGCCAGGAAGTTTAGCTGAGCTAGAACCTGTAGCTGTGGAAGCCTCGGCAGGGTCATCCGGGTCATCATAAAGGGACCCTAGCAAGGAGCCACTAGGAGCAGGTGTGGTTGCGCTCTTGTCCACACCCTCCCCCTTCGTCGGAGGAGGTAGATCCCCATACAAAGAGTCAAGCATGTTTGATATAAGAATACCGTCGACGGGTGCGTGGCAGAGCACAAAGGGTGTATGAGTGTCAGGTGAAGGCGGTTCGCTGCTTAAGTCCGACCAACGGACCTCCAACGACGGCTCGTACCAGCTATTCCTATCTTGAAGCCCTGCTATCAAGGTCAGCAGCTGTGAAGTGTGAAGTGCAGCAACTGCAAGAATGCTTAGTTGGACGAACTAAAGAATTTGAGGGGAGCCCAGCAAGCGGCAGATTGGCGTGCTGTCTCAGTATATCAAACAGTCACAACAACCTCACAAACAAGACGGAAAACTACGTGGCCAAGTTGAAACCTTGGTGGAGGTTCCTGTACGCTCCTGCAAGGTGGCGGATGATCACCCATCGCGCAGATCAGCGGTGAAAACCAACTCCCACGCATTCGAAAAAACAGACCTGAAGCTGAGCAAAGCATGCAAATATTTTAAAAATGGAACTCGCCGTAGCCTGTATTCTTGAAAATCGATTCCGCGGCACTGGTTGAGTGGACTAAGTGCACGTCCCGAGATGAGATGACCAGAGAACCCCTCTTCGAAGATCGCCTGTGAGAAACTGAAAAACTGTATGCATTGGACTAAACGATGAAAACAATCTAGTATCCAAAAGAACTTGAAAAGACATTGCGGCCCCCAAAATTCTTCCATGCATGCAGGCGCAACAGCCCCCGGAGCTGATGATCACATGGCATGACTGCAGCGTGACTGCAGCTGCTCCCCTCTCATTGGTTGCTTGCTGATATGAACGTCTACTTATATGACTGCTTATTAATATAACTATTTCGAAATACCCTGCTGGCCGCCTTATATTAACGGGGGGGGACCTGCCGAGATGTAACTAAGCACTCCTGGGCGGAGAATGTTAAGCTACGTGCACAGTGCCTTCGGAAAGAACCAAGCCAGCAAGAAATTCCTCCCTACTGAGAGAATTTTGGAGGCTTCGAAGCGCTCTCGTCATGTTGCAGCAAAACACGACTCAACTGGAAACGCAAGACCGCTGAGTCCGTACCCTGTACAGTAGGGTCTCAACGGCAAAACTTAAGTGGAACTGACCACTCTCCTCTGATGCAACCAAAACTGCGTACTGCTGTTCAGCATCGAAGGCGCAGCTATGTGCTGAAAAGTACGTGCGAATCCGACTCCCTTTGCTCAGGGTAGAGCTATGCTCTGTAAGAGTTGACGGTTATACATACCAAAAAAGCACTCCTTGCCCACAGCAGGCTTCTGTGCTAGCTACTTTGCATGCATGCTGGAATCAATCATCATCCCGCATTAGTATGAAGAAGCTATCGAATTCTGGGTTGCATGGAATAGCAATCCAGACGGCAAGCGCCGACCATCACGCACTTGCCCACAAAGCCAACACTACGTCTCCGATACACGTTCAGAGCCGCGCCAGTCGTTACAACTGCATGTATAGTGATTGCCACGAAGCGAGCCGCTGCGCTGGCTATTCGCTCTGATGGCTCGCTACCAGGCAACCAGAGCGAGCCAGTCGTTACAACTGCATCTATAGTGATTGCCACAAAGCGAACCCCTGAGATGGTTATTCGCTCTGGTGACTCGCTACCAGGCAACCACAGCGAGAAATCACACAATTTCGGGATGTGTGGGAGGGATTGCAAGTCAGGAAAAAAAACATCTTGGAAGTCCTGCTGGAGCGAAGCGCTACCATTACTAAAATGCTACTTCTCCGCAGTGCGATTAAGCCCCCTATTCACTATTTGCCTGGCGTTGTTCCTCGCTTCATCTGATATCCAAAGATGCAGGGGTCCGTCGTATTGCGCACCTAGATTACCACTAGATTTGGGGCACAATCAACATAAATTTACTTGGAAACAAAAGCGCCAATTCTCCTTTACACAGGGTCAACCAGGCAATCCGCTACTTAATTTAACAGATGGCCATGCATGAGGGAAAAGAACGAATTGGATGACTAAACCTCTACACAACGCGAGAAGTCGGTGACTCAGCTTGTGTGTATGCCTTCAGTAGCCCCAGTAATGGCACCTGCTGGCAGCAGTCACATCCTATGAAGAAGACGTAGCAGGGCTTGGACAGCTGGTTAAAGATATTCACTTCCTCTATAACGGTAGAGCACGTTCCCTTTCACGGCCTGATCGTGGTGGTTCGACACAGGTGGTATCGAAATCCTTTGTCAACACGAACACCATTCACATTGACCTACCGAAGATCCTAAAGTAAGTTCTACAACTACGCTGGACCCTTGGACAGTCTTGGTTCAGGGAAAACAGGCGATTGAGCGCCCCTGGCAGCTAGCCAGTGATAAATGCGCCACAAGACAGCGAAATCACCTACAAACGCCAACTCATATACTGTGGCAAAAAGTGAGGCCTTGACAAACAACGATTTAACATCCTGGGTCAAGCTGCCGAGATGCCACAGCTACCTAGTCACAAGCAGCCAATGAAGACCACCGGGCTGGCCGCTTTATTTGCCTTGAAGCCAAACAGAAGTATGGGAGACTATGGAGATACCCCAAGGAACGCAACACAGGCTCAGAGATGCTGTTCCCAGTCTTCGGGCACTTCTTCCTCTTCCTGGTCACACCATACAAAAGCAACTGCTAGCAGTAATGACCACATTGCTAGTCTACTTCATTTCCGCACTAGAATAACAGAAAAGGACAACAAAACGTGTATATCCGTGCAGAGCAAGAAACGCTCCCGAATAAACAGGTTCGAAACAATCAGCTGGCTTACGTGCATCGGCTCGGGTGCTGTTTCGCGCCCTCCCTCTCCACGCACGCCCATCCCGCCACTCCCGAAATCTGCTTGAAAACCCTGCGGCATGTACGCTGTCTTTATGGCCCCTCCTCCAGTGCTCGTCGCAGTGACGCTCCCGGTACCGACTGCACTTGCACCGACTCGAGCAGCTCCTGACGCTATGGGGTTATAGTTGTACGTGGGCACCTCAAGGTAGTCGTTCAAGCGAGAAATGGGAACGATTGACCTCCTGGTGTTTCGTTATCATAACATCAGACGCAACTATAATAACGCATGCTGTTCTCCAAAAACCAATAAAACGTGAAATGATGAAAGCGGCAGCGCAAAACTAATGTGCCTAGACTGTGATCAGAAGCGCTTGCAGACTTACTGGCTTCCAACCCAAGAAATCCAAGGCCTCCAGTTCACTGTATCCGCCCTACAGGTAAAACAAGTGGTAGCAAAGGAGAATAGCACTAGGAACAAAGAATTGAGAAAAAATGCATTACCTACATGCCTTGCGCTGCTGCAGCATTTACTCGCTTACCAAAGAGACAACTGGTCTCCAACAACAAGAAGGCCTCGTCTAGCACGAGTGAGCATCACGTTGAGCCGGCGTGCATCCTTTAAAAAACCTATTTCACCTCTAGGGTTGGAACGAACAGCGCTGAAGATGATCAGATCCTTCTCCTTGCCCTGGAACCCGTCCACAGAGTCGACATCAATCTGATAGCATAACGCCTTGTCCTGAAGCCGCACGGGCACCGCAAAATGTGTAGCAACAGTAATGCTCCATGGAGCCACCCGCCAAAGGGAATCCGTAATATGCGTAGTAACAGCTATGCTCCTTGGGATCACTCGCCACACAGAACATTTCAATTGCATGTGTGAGGCAAAAACCCCAAAGAATTGCTGGGCGCCTCAACCAAGAAACGCGATGCTGGACAATTTGGTGCAGCTATGGTGCTTCCACAGAGATTGAAAGCAGCTGACGACACGCGCAGAGCAGGCGAGTTTACGCAGAGACAAAAGGCCAGTTGCAACTACGAGCTGTTGGGAACGCAGGGCTTCTTACAAAAGAGTCGTTTAAGGCGAAGCGGATCCGCGCTTTCTGCGCATCGTACGGGGTTAAAATGCCGATTTCGCTCGGACGGATTGTACCGCACTGCAATACTGACCGCAATATTGCCAGTATCGGGTCGATTTCACTGAAGAAAATCACCGGTATAGTCTACTCACGGAACCAAATGCATAATCTACCAGGAGTCATGAAAGGCTGACGCCCCCCTTACTCAATCTATCTGAAGGTTCATTTGCTAGCTGTACTCATTTCCATCAACGGCATCCACTTCGTGCAGTCATTTCATGCACGAGTACTTCTTGCGGCAGTAAACAATTGTAAAAAACAATTGACTTACACAAGGCTGTACTTCGACGTCCCCAAAGACTGCTCCATGTTCGCAAGCCCAGCGGAAATATCAATAAGGCACACCCGACTGTGTGAGGATGGCCAAAGAAACCCTGCTACTGGGGGACGGTTGCAGTCGTCCACATCTAGAACGCACGTACAGCCAAGGAAGCAATGCAAAGCTCATAATACAGAAACTGCATTCAGCAAAACAGTGCAGTTTACCGAAGAGCGAATGACACAGACTCGCTGCCTCTATACTGTGAAACATACTTTGTGCCGCTCCACTACAGTACCCGAGTTGTCAATAACCGCGCTTATTTCCCAAACGCGTATTCGCTCATTCAGGTTCCTCGAGTGCGATGTGAGCTGCATTTTGCACGAATTTAGCAGGCGAATTTGTACACACGGAAGTTCATAGGCATGCAACGCACCTCGACTGAAAATCTTCCCCTGGTAGAACTGCATGTTTGGAAAATGAGCAATACTTGGGTGCATACGACGTTGCTCGTTTAGCAAGTGAATTGGTGCGATGCCACTTCCGACGAATCGCTCAAGAAGCGAAACTCCCAGCCTACAATCAAGAGCACCCGCAACGCAACACTATGCAAAGAAGCGACCCCACCTGCTTTTACTATGACTCGGTGAACGTACACAAATCAAATATAGTGCACGCATGCTCTCCCTAGCCGCCGCCTACCCGCCATCGCTAGCCTCCCGTGAAACGATGGTGGGAGGAAGTTGCTTATGGTCGCCAATTAGGACCACTGAACGGCAACCGTGGCCTAATGGGATTAGATTAGACGGCTCTATAAAGGCAAACATCGAATAGACACACAAGAAGCAAAACCAAGCGATCTTTTCCTTCTAAAGACAATGAATGATGTGGTGCCCTGCTGGCGGGAGACAGTGACAGACGCACCAATGGACTGGGCGCACTCGTCAATAATGACCCTCTCAAACGTGACATCGTCGAACATCTCGTGGCCACTGCCAACACAGGTTGCGATGATGACATTATACTTGCGAACGGCTTCTCGGACGAGAAGCATGCGCAAACTTCGTGCCTCTCCTGAATTCTTGTCTCTCATTCGTAGAAGATCGCGATATCGAGGAAGATCTATGGAACAGCATTTGGTATCACTGGAGCCGCTTGCACGTTTGATGCTTAACTCTCAATCATGCGTACAGTTGCCGTGCATTTTCAGAGGAAATGAAACTAACAACGAACTCGCAATGCATCGGTGGAGTGCCAAAACAACAGCCAGGTACCTTGAATTGATTCTTCCTTTAAATCCGACTCGCTTCCGCTGCCTACTCGAACGCTACGGATGCCTCGGTTGCTGAGCCCCTCCATGAGATTGTCCGCTGCACGTATGCATGAAACTCAAGCCAGAAATTAAAGAAGACTGCATGAGTAGCTCCCAAAACACAAATCTGCAATTGCCACAGCCACTGGAGACCTCTGTTAGCTGGCGTCCTTGAATTCACCCCTGGTGCGCTAAAATTCCGGGTGTCCGCGTGAAAAGGGGGCCAATACACAAGGGAAGGCATTTGCTACTAACCGGCAACGTTTGAGTCAGCGACAGCGAGAATTTTTTTAGTAGGGTTGATGCGCTGCCACGCATCAATAATTGCGCAAGCCACGTGTGTCTTTCCTGTGCCAGGAGGACCTGAGGCGCACCGCGGACTGGACACTAACCAACTTAAAAAAGACCTTCGGCAAAACGACAGCAACAAAGAGCACATTGCAACGTACCCTGCACAAGGGTTAGGCGATTTGTCATGGCGCTTATCGTTGCTTGGCGCTGAGCCTCGTTAAGCGGTAAGCCTGTCGGGAGTCGAAAACCATCGCCGAACATTTCGTAGCCCTCATCCGGAGCACTACGGCTTGAGGAAGGGGTTTGCCTCCGCGCCTGCAGTGACTGAAAAGCAACAAGACAGCATCGGCGCTTCGCACACTTTTGAGGTTTTGCTATTCGCAACGTACAGGCAGCTGACACTGCTCGATCTTGGGAATAAACATATGTAACCACAGGAATATCATGTGCCCATGCTGCTACGTACGACAAACTGTTGTTCTCAAAAGTTACGCTGTGCCACGTCGACAGCCGTCAGAATGCTTACAACTTGTTGCAGCAGAGATGGCTGCACCCGTTGCTTCTTGCAAGAGTCACCATCCGCCAGTTCGTCCAATTGGTGTAGCGGGTTGTACTGCTCTGGGTCTGTGTCGCTTAGCTGCGGCACTGGTCCCCCTGGGTAACACAACATGACAAAATCCTGCGCTAGCCGCATGAGATCCATTACCTATCGCCACACAATATAAACCTTGTTCACGATTTGCCAGTTAGAAAACGCATGTTTGTGACGCCAACTGCGCTGGGACTGAAGCTTACGACCAGACACCTGCTGGGCCTGAGGTTCACTAGTGTGCAGGAGAAGGTAACGGATCTCCGGTGCGAAGACGTAAGGGGGTGGCGACTTCTGTGATTGCCATACACGCAGATGACGGGCCAAAAAGAGCGGTAAAGCTGTTTTCCCAAAATACAAAACCAGCAGAGTGATTTGTGTGCTCAATCCTTGAATGCAAGTGATAGTGTAAGATGCAGCTCATTACGCAAGCCGCAAGTGGACATGCGCTAATAAGAACAAAAATGGATGAAAAGGCCAACTGGCCCACTGACCCCTGCTGGATGCTTCGACATTGTAAGGCCTCTGAGCGCCTGGACCATCCTGTCGTGCGTTACAGCAGGAGTGAGATAGTAAAGCTTGAATTTATTGGTCGCTGGACAAAGACAAAGGGATAAACACAGCCACAGACACATACAGTAAATACACAAAGAATGACAGCATGAGCCTTAGCGATGTATAGCTGCACATCTGCTAATGCCTTCCAAGTTCATTCTTTCCTACTGGAGTGTCACCCTGAACACTTACTGAAGACTTCTGGGTACTTCTTGACTTCGGCAGTGGCAACGCGAACATTCACGTTCATGGATTCTGAGAAATCTCCTTTTACACTCGTAACGACGCCCACAAAGCATCGTTGCTGTACAAGCACACATTACGGACAAAAAATCGCTCACAAAGTGTCGCTGTAGAAGCACATGCTACGGATATACAAAGCCACTGATTCACAGCCAAAGATTACAAATACAAGTAAAAAGACAGGTAACGCAGTGTGCAAATCATCCACTTAACAGCCCTACGAAGCCGGTGTTCCATACAGTGGGAGAAGACCAACAGCCAGCTGGACTATGTAGGCTAGAAAAAGATATTACTGAAATGCCCGATAAAATCAGTACAGATGCTATCTGTAGTCCACCTACCCAAGATTCCTCCTCAGTAAATGCATGCGGATCTGCCGGCCTGAGGAGAACGATATCATCTTCCCGGAACTGGACGCTCCTGAGGAACATGCGCTCTTCCTCTAAAAAGAAAGCACCAACAAAGCGAAGCTGTCAAACGCAGGCTTTACTACGTTGAATGAAACTTCGAGCTAAACCAGCAGAGAGCTACGTTCATGCTACCTCCCAGCTTCTTCTGCGCCTTAATGGCCACTCGCCGTATGCGAGTGTTCGCATCACAAAGCTGCTGCACATGCTGCTTCAAGAAGCATTTACCAATTAACGGTTCTGATTTCCTAAAACGAACGTGGCGTGCTTTACCAAAGGCATGTAGCACATCACTCGTACACCTTAAGGGCGAGCAAAGGCCACCTATATACGCTTCTAATCAACTACTGGACATAGTGTGATCTCCGTCAAGCAGAACCTTGAAGTAACTATTACTATATTTAGTGTTGCGAAAAAAGCGTGTTTCAATACTGATCTCTTCGTAACCCGCCTTGTGCAGGTACTGTGAAGTCACCACGTGTGTGTATACTCGCCTCGTAAGAATGTGGAGAACGAAAACACTGGGAAGGTAACAGACTTCCGCGTAAGTAGAACATGCTTGCCTTCCCCAAGGTCGGCAAAAGCTCGGCGATCGCTGATGTTCGTTGCGACTTGTGCTTGCCACTCCAGCGCAAGCATTAGCCTAGAAGCCAAAGCAAACCTCTCAATCAGCTAGTAGGACAAGCACCTCACAGGCAGCAATGGTCTCATAACCCGCGGCATAATGTAAGGTTTGGCACTGCGCTTATCCACACAATACAGCTTACCTATAGTTGTGAAAGTAGCGCATCGCCAGAGTCGAAGGGAACCAGCTGCTATCCAGTGACAGTCCACCAAGCTCGTGAAGCACCGACTGAAAACAGCAACAGAGATAACTCATCCATACTGAAACGCCTGGGACAGTTCCACGAAAAAGAAGATACGGGGAGTCAACCCTAAACGCAACGCATGAGAACACAGATCTTCGAACATGGCTGTTCCCTCATCGACTCACCTGTCCAAACTCGCAGTTTGTCAAAACCGTGCACTCGTCAAGAAGCTGCTCCCACAGATCCGGAGGCATCACTTTCGGAGCGTCATATGACGCTTTAACGACCTCTTGGAGCCCAGAGCTACTCTGGCCATCACCTGAAGCACAACAAGCTTCTCAAACGTGTCGACATGCTACTACAGTCTCATTCTGTGCTGATGTACAATGGGCAGTTGCAAGCTTAAACTTACATATCATATGGATACTTACTTTGAGTTTGCTCTGCAACCACGGGGCGTGGAGCTGCTTGCACCTTTAACTGGTCAATTAGGGAGTTTACTAGTGATCGACTGCCTTCAGCCATGGCTGCGCGCCAAACGACTGGCAGGAATATACGCCATACAGCTCCCCTCGTTTCGGCGATGAGCCGGCAAGCACTCTCTACATACACAGACGGGTCCTGTTGCAGAGCACCAAGCATGCGTGACACAAAACGTACACACTTTCAATACAAACCGGCCACCGCCTCCTGCAGACCGATGCGCTACGCGTTTAGAAGAGAGCAGTGTTCAACTTTACCTTAACACGCGGTACGAGTGGCTACACGCAGTACGCGTGGCTACAACGTGAAAAGGTGGCAACCTAATAATCAACATTAGCTGTTGACAGCAGACAAGCCGCCCCACATCAATACGGTGGTAAAGCTCATGCACACACAAGCGCAAGCACGCATTCTTCATGAAGAATGTGGGGGCATTTAACCCGTGCAAACTTTGCAACGTTCACCTTTTTGCTTTCCACCTGGTTCACAACCATAAGGGCTGCTTGTCTGTCCTTGTCATCAACGTGTTCTATGAAGCCCGCCGCTTGCATCATTTGCATGGCTGCCTGAGCTCGTGCACCAGCTTTGGTAGAGCCGACAGCGACGATAACATGCTGCAGTGCCACCGTAGCAAATGAACCAGAAAGATCATAACTCTACCTCGACTGTCAGAGTGGAAAGCTTCGGTTTGGCTATGTCCGCACGCACAACTTGAGTTACCACTGAAATTGTGCGAAAGAGTAAATGTCAGCAGCGCTCAGGATCCTAGGTTAAACAAACGCGCAAAGCCGTATCTACTGACACATGAAAGCACAACTGGCACGGGTACAGCAGACAGCGAGATATTCGCTTACAGAATGCATGCGCCCATCATTTGATTTCCATTTCCATTCAAGCGCACACCGATGACCTTCTGGCGCCTCCGTTATCGTTTCTGTGGCCTTTATTTGGTTCTGGGAGGTGACGGTATTGTGCAACATGTTAATTTCACCAGCCGTGTGCTTTGATAGCTGCGACGGTCTCGTAATCTGGCTCCGGTGCTCCTGTGGCTGCACCTTCCTATTTTTCGACGCCTCAGCATTTAAGACTGCCCGACGCATCAACCCTTTATCCTTCAGCTGCAGAAACGATACAACTGTTCGCCGGAAAAAATGTGAGCAGTGCCACCTTTTCCATAAGCTATGAAAAGGTGGGTAGAGGGGAAAAAGGCATGGCTGAGCATCCTGGAGAGCACATGCGCACCTCCTGCACTTTTATGTACATGTCTTGCATCGCGGCAATCTCTGCCTCAGCTGGAAAGGAGCCACTACCTTGTGACTCCACGATAGTAGGCTCTCCATCCAGCAAGAAATTCCACTCGAAACTGTGCTCTGCATGGTTTCCATAGTGGCGCAAGCACGCAAGGTCAGCACTGCCTTGGCTAAGTCGACTGCCCATTAGACTCAACCTAGTTAAATGTTACGTGCCGTACATTATGCTAAACGCCTTCGAACAATACCGCAGGCTGCTCCACATGGGAAGAGCGAAGAAACAATAATGAGGCTGCTCACTTGTCTCCGATTGTGTCTGTGCACTCTCTAGCGCTTGCCAGTGAATCTGTGGGCATAAAGATGCGCGGATTTATGTCAGTACGTGTTTGTATGCTATCACATTCGGCCGAACTGCTTACTCATCCTGGAAATGGGAATAGCCCTCTGCTTCGCGTTCAGTTTTCCTCGGAGGGTGCTGAAAATGACTCGAGTAACTTGTTCATACTCCTGCAGATGGCACATACGCACCCACAAATAGTGCTATGTGTTGCACTGCACCTTCGTGAGCCTATCGCGGCACCATTGAAATGTTGAGTCACAACAGCAACTCACATGCGGGGTCACCGGACCCAACTGCACCAAGAGAACTTTCACAGCCTCTTTCTTCGCATCCTTTTTTGAGCGGCCAATGCCGGAGGCCCGGAATTCGCGGCTCCTGACATTCCACACAAGCGTGTGCTGAAACCCTCCGTTACTATCTCCCCCAGGTGCCCTCTCGCAGTGTTCCTGTACCGCCGGCTTCATAAACTGAACGCAATCAAAACGCAAAACCGGCGGCAAGTACTCACAAGCTTTTTACATGGAGCAGGCATGAGACTTTGAGGTACAAGAACCATACTGCTTGCACTCCCCCTCCATTCGCGTGCCGAAAGGGCCGAACAGGCGACCACTCCAACATGTAAATAATGGCGGACTTAGCACGCTTCTCGTAGCACCGTAAATTGAATACGAACAGGGCTCAAATGTGCAAATGGATGCACCCTACGCTGGAATCATGGGAACAGAGCTTCTCAGTTTGTTGTCAGTTGCATTTCTATGCAGAATATACCGTTTGCCGGACTCCGTAGAAGTGAAGGATGTACTCATCGTCGAGTGTTAGCTTGTTGAAGGCTTCAAGGCCCCTGTTTCCGAACAGCACAGATATTGCAGATTGCGGATCGCTTCCCGTTGGCGCATGGCTGACCGGAGGCCCGAAGTTGCCTCGTGATCCATCTGGCGCCCCAAGATTATGCGCTGGTACTCCGCCAGACCCTCCTACAGACGGAGACTGAGTTGAGAAGCCAGCGGGGCCAAAGCCAGAGGCAGCCCCTAAAAGGCCATCCTCACGACTGGGGGAGGTCCCTGGTTCCTGTGTTGTGGAGGCTATTCCCTGCGTACGAAAAGAGGAGAAGGTCCTCGGAATGTTTGGCTCCTGATTGTCAGAAGGAGTTGAAGACCCAGGAGGTGGACTTGCCTCAGCGCCTCTTTGGATGCCTATGCTGTCCCGAGGCCCAGAGCGCCTCCAACGTGCGACGGGCTTTGCCATTATCCCAATAAGGCTGCGTTGTGATGCGGAGGAGTTGCAGCGTTGCCACCCCAATGCACTGTGTGTCCAGGTGTGGAACGCTGGGAAAAACGCTTCTGACACGGGGGGAAATAATTTGGTGCCGTTTGTGTGTTCCGAAGCACGCCGAGATTGAACCAGAGGTGGTAGACGATCATAGACAATTCCTGCGAAGCAGGGGCAACAATTAGAGAGCTGGCACAGATGCTCTGGAGCCGCCTGTAAGAGATGCCTACTTGACGGGCTAGGGAGCCTTCTTGACGTCAATATCGACAGAAGCATCACGCCTCTCCTCCATCCATGTGGAAGAAGGTAGGCACTGCTCGCAAGACAGACCTGGGAGAGGAAAAGTACACTAGGGATGACACACAGTTTGAATTCGGTTTGGGTTCTGGCGGTGGGGTTGGAACCAAGTCAGAAAACCCCGCTCAGTCGCTCCTGTAAGGTTCCAGCGGCAACAGCTGCCTAATTAACACGTAAAGAGGACAAAAGCCTAAAATACAGAATGCGGGGCAAGAGAAGGGGCCCGCTTTCATCGGCCGCGAGGGCTCGGGTAAGACAGACTCGTTAGACCGACGGCCGAACTGCCTTTGCGCCACTAGCAACGCGTCCACAACAACCACAAAAAGCAGAGTGTCAACTCCACTTGATAAGCACGCGTTCGTGACGCGAAGAAAATTCATGATTGGCAGAACGCAGAGTGCTTGCGAGTCCCTGATCAGGGCTTTCTTGCCAGCGCTCTTCGGCAGCGTCTGCATGCAACATGAGATATGCAATCATGTGCGTCCTCTGAGTTGTACATGAGCACGTTACGCATTAATTTAACTCTGTTGATGAATGCTTAGTGTAGATATTCCATTCTCGCCTATGGTTAGGAGAAGAACGAAGCTCAAGGAGCACCCAGCACCTGTGCTGTTTTACACAACATCCAGTGTATGTCTAGGCTTTATCGCACAAGGTATACGACTTGCACACACAACTATTATTTTTCAAATACTGCTGAAGCTACCACGGCCGCTGAGCTAAAGTGCACGAAAGCGACTCCGCTACCGTTGTTTGCACGCAGAGCTGCACGATACGCGCTGGCAATGTTTCTGGGTTTTGAACCTGGCGCATGCTGATTTTCTGTACGTACGTATCCTCTATATTGGTGAGACAGCTACAATGCCGTGGAAAAGGTCCACGCTCGCCTTGAAAGGGCGCTGTAGGTGGTGTTTTCCTGCCCGAGAGCAGCCCAAGGACCGTCGTGTCGGTGAACTGAGCCGTTTCGAATAGTTCCAGTGAGTCGGTGGGACAGCACGAAGTTGTCAGATCATTTCCTTAATGTAGCTTTAGTACACACCCACATGCCCTATGGCCGAACAGAAATCGTGAACTTATCCCGCGCGGCGACATAACTCGTAAGCACACCGAGTATAGAGGGCAACTGACCAACTAAAAAACAGAACTTATTCGCCAGATAAGCAAATGCTTCACCCGAGTATGTTTACTATGGCTGGCAACCAGAACGCAAAGAAGGACAGGCGGTACGGAGGGTCCGAAGAACTTTCAATGGTACCATGCAACCACGAAGTGCGCTTCACAGAGCGAGCAAGCGGCTTACGTCGGCTCGTGGTTTAAACCCGCAGGTTGCGTTCAGGCAATTGACATGTATGTTTGTACTGAAATTAATCTGCAGAGGTGACTCCAACATTTCAAGTTTTCCTATGAACTTCAACGAATATAGCTACAATATTGCTCCACTCCGGTGTCGAGCAAAAGACCATCACTCACAGAACTCGTTGAATCTAAGCCTCCACCTCTTCCAGGACACTGACGCTGTTGTATTAATGTGCATGTAGCAACTGCACGCTGCATGCGCAACTGCCGCTGCTCGCACTTGCTCGTTACTCGCCGTCTTTTAAATGCTATCTCCACACAGCCTGTACCTAGTATGGCCATCCTTGGCCACTGACACAGGTCCGAATTAAATGCGCGTCTTCGGAGGATGCATTTCAACTTCATGTGATTTCGCTGAACTGCCCAACAAATCTGACGGAACGTCAGCTGGATAACAGCACCTATGTGCTGCTGGTGTGCAGCACCGGTCACATCCCCTTCACTGCAAAATGCAAAACACGCAGCTCCAACAATACTAACGAGCGTCCCGATATCTGTGTGCAGGCATTATACAGATAATCATGCGCTTTCCCTACAAAAACAAACTGGCCGTTCTTGCCACAGACGATTTCTCTCAAGAGCAGCCGAACGGCACATATAGTAAGCGGCGCCTTCATCACAAATTCTGTCCCATTCCTCTGTGGAGGCTTTCCTTCGAGCTACAGAAGGGCCAACTACAGTGCTGAATGGTCGTTTCGCTACATGCAGCACGGCTTTTCCTGCAACTGCGGTTGAAACCACCGCAACATGAGTACCGTAAGCCTGGCAGTGCTTTTGTTTGTATGTACAGAGGCTAGGCTGTTTTGTCCCCTTTGTGCCGTCCCCGCTCTCGCATCACGGCAACATGCACACTACTGTGTCCACAGCGCCACCCAAATGCCGCTGGAGACGGGAGTCCTCCTGAAATGGGCAGACCGTCAGCCGTTGGCGAAGTAACTCCAGAAAGTCTCTGACTCCTCTCCCTCTTGCTGCGACAGCAAAAGCAACGCTAGCAGAAGCAGCTTGACTCGACTTAGTGGCAGCTCAGCAGCGATAGCAGCATCATCAACAGCAGCTAGCCCTCAAATCTATACAGTGGAGCAATGAGAAGCTATGCTGGGCTTAACCTCTGCACTGCATCAGTCTCTAGGCACGAACAGCAACAGCAGCAGCGAGGCGAGCGCACTGACCTCCACTGAAAGCTGTAACTGTCCGGGTTGGAGATGGAAAGCATCCATAACTTGGGCCTTGACAGCTTCATAATCATTCTGCGAGTCTAGTGCCGCCTCAGATCCTACCCAAAGCCACGCCGTCACTGCTCCGGCTGCAGCAGTTGCTGGTACAGGAGACGCAGCACGCAGTAGCCTGCCGGTGTTGTCGTTGCTGTCCGCCACCAGCAAGTATACTTTATCTGAAAATAGATCCTCTGAATCGAATAAATCCAGCGGTTCTTTTAAGTCTGGTAGACAGAAGAGCTTAGCTGTTCCTTTGGCGTGCGTCCCTGCGACTGTTGTTACTTCCCCCCGCGGTGCTCCTGCTGAAGCCCTGTTTGCGGCATGGCCAAATGCCTTAAACGAGCGTCGCACGGAGGGCACGCATGACGAGGTACTGCTACAACTGCTGTTGCTGTGGTAACGGATGTGCGCTTCTTCGCCTGCTTGACAAGGTTCCTCTGGAGTCCCCTCCAACACGATCTCTCCCGGGACTGAGAATAAGTCTTGAGAAACCACCGCCTCCATGGCATCTCCATCAGCGCTTCCTGCAGGAAAGTCCCCTTCTGCCCAGTCCCCCGGAAGGTCGAATGCGCAATAATCTCGCCAACGGAAGGGCTCTTCAGACTTTTCCGGGACCATTGGCTCCAACTGTGTAAAAGCATCCCACAAAAATACGCACCGAAGGGGCACTGCAATGGAGAATCCAAATACCTGCAACATGAGCTAAACGGTGCAAAGATACGGCAAGAGCCAAACTACAACGACGACCAGGAAATGTGAATCTGACTCACGCCGGAAAGGGCATTGGGGACCCCCAGATGAGGATGTGGGGTCTCTGCTCCTACACCGAAGGCCAGCCAGAAGTCTGCAGGCTCCGAGCCAGCAGCAATGAAGTGAAGGCGGATGCCTATGAGCAGTTTCACCAAAAGCGTGAATCAAGCCAGCCAAGTAGTACGAGATTTCACAGAGGGCTTAACTGAAAGAACGAATCTGGTCGTCCCTATGACAACAAAAGCTTAAAACTAAGCTGTAAAGTGGATACAGTAGCGGCCGCGGCGCGACCTCCAACACAGTAGCTAGTGCAAGACAAAATACAGAAAAAAGACCTGACGTGGAGACGCAACGGCAAAACTACTGTATCTACTTCTCACTTCGGCCTTCAACAAGTGCCACGTTTTCTTGATAGTTGCTTGCTGCTGCTTCCACCTGCGCTGCTGTGCGGAGACATTTGCTCGCATCCATCCATACCCATCCCTGACCGTTACCTCTAAGCATATACGCCCCTCTCTCTGACATTGCAGGAACCACCCCTGGTCTCCACTCCGTCATTTCCGACCAAAGCAAGAAATCTGGAGAGTGCGCGGAGTGCACCACAAGATGCAGCAGGAGAACGCAATCCTCCTCAGCGGAGGAGATCCTCCCTCTCGCCGTTAGTGCTGCTTCTACTGAGGATGAAGGGCTCTCTCTTTGTGGGCCCACCTCACTTCCTGCCTCATTTTCGCTGCTGTATCCTCCAGGTCTGGGTGGTCCACACACCCGTGGGGAATGGGGACCCAGGCCTCTTAGTGTGACTACAGCATCCTCTACTTCCAGATGCGAGGCGTCTGAGGACAAACCTTCTCCCATAGGCGAATGAGAACAACGCTCTTGTGCAGAATGTGGTGAAAGGGGGCCAGGCGAAACTGGAGCCCCTGGTGGAAGCTCTTCTGAGCCCACAGAAGGCCTTGGTGATGCACGGCTTTCTAACGGAGATCCAGCCCTTTTTAAGCCCTTGCCAGCGGTCCACTGCCTGTCGGATACTGGTCCTGGAGAAGATGGACCCTCTGAGGGTATGCTCCTCAGTGTGGGGGGAGTTTTCGGCGCCTCCTGTCCGTCCCGTGATTGCGCTTGATTGCGACAGGAGAACGCAGCACGGTGTGGCTTGAGACCTAAACGTTTTTGCAGCAGCAGCAGCTGGAAGGTGAAGCCTGTGTTCGGGCTGCAAATGGCCCGACGGCTCCGCAACTAACAAGAACACAGAACAACGCAAAGAGACACAAAGGCGGACGGCACACCAATGTGGCTTGATGCGGCGTCCTATGCAGCGAGCAGTCTTTGGCTAAGCAAACGAGATCTTGGCTGCAGTGCAGTCAGCTAACTTACTACAACCTCTATCTGTGCCGTCTACATGGATGCTGGTGCTGCTAACAAGGCTCCTACCCGCTCAAAGGCTTCAGCAAAGGGAAGACGAAGTTTCCACATCAGAAATGCGATAGCAAGAGTGGCAGACCTCGAAACGCCTTCTTTGCAGTGTATCAACACCTTGTGGGGCTTCTTGCTCCCGTTGCTGTTGTGGCTGAAACTGCTTCGGCTTTCATCGCTGTTTTGCTTCTTGCTTCTTTTGCTGGCGTCGGGATTACAAACACCGCTAACAGCGGCAAGTGAAGCAGCACCAGAAGCGTCACTATTAGCGCGTATGCTTTCTCGTGGAGACAAGGGCGAAGCTACGCCCTTGGTATTCTCGCCTATCGCCTCGTAAATAAATCTGATGCAGTCGTAAAAAACGCACATGATGTCCTGCTGCCGCGTATCCTTGAGGTAATACGTTTTGTAGATCAACAGGGGCGCAAAGACATTGGGACAGATGTCGCCTATCGTGTTCACCACGTGAGTTATGCCCGCTTGCTTCAGACACTGAACAGACAGTACAAGGAACCCAAACCTGTAATGCTGCTACTACCATTCGCTGGTACACAGGTGCAGAAGCGCCTTGCATTGCCGTTAGCTTGGGTAGGTTGGTGACTGAAGCTGTGCTGCGGCGGGTTTCGCTGCAACTGGCTGACTCCTACTTACCTGTAAGTCGCAAGCAGCAGCAGCTCCAGACACGAATAAGCGCCCTTCATACACATCGCTAATTACGCGCCTGAAGTTAACTAGCTGCTGCTGACGAGTTCTGCTGTACAGGCCCATGCCATCCTGAGGGGAGACATAAGAAAGCAACGACGCGGGAAGCACGTTGCCTCTACTGCTGTAGTGGTACTTAACACGGTGAAAGAGAGCCAACAGAAGTCCTGGTCTGTCTGCCCACTAGCTACAGCTCCGCATGTTATTGTTTCTTGTAACGTTATTAATCCTTAAGGTGCTCGCATAGGCGCTAATGCTGTTGCTTACATCATCAATGCGCCTCCTTCTAGAGCCAAATGCTTCCCTGGAAGACCCCGCGCTACTGCCGTCGCTCCCCAACCGCTGCAGCCCAGCAAAAGAGGCAGCGGGGGAGCTGAGGAGTCCAGAGTGATGCAGGCCACTGACTGACCCTACAGAAACACCTGACAATCGGGCGCCTGCTGGAAGCACCTGCTGCTGCTGCTGCTTCAGGGAAGGTGAAGCAGTAGCTGTCTCCCGAGAGGCAGCAGAAGATGTCCCAAACGCAAGCGAAAATGTCTTCGATGCCACACCCTCTGTACGTTGTAAGAATGAGGACGAAGAGCCTCCCACAGCCCTGGATGGAGGACTCAAAGAGCCCCCAACTTCCCCAGATGGTGCGCCCACTGCTGGGGAAACTGTAGGCTCACCTCCTCCAAGCCTTGGAATTACTAGCTTGGGGACACTCTGCAGGCGGAAGTTTCTTTGTCGAAGAGGCCCACCATCTGTATTGCGTTGCGATCCCCTCTGCATGTCTTGTCCCGCCCGTTCTGCCGGTGGAGACTCTGAAGGAGATGTTTCGCCAGAAGCGATAGGGGAACCACAGAAAGAAGATGGGAACGAGCTATCATCGCTGCCTGCACAATCCGTAGCGTGCAGCTGAAGCCCACTGCTGCCTGGCGCGACCCGCCTCAGGGCACCGCTGTCAATACAGAGAGGACGTCCTTCGCCGTCACGTTTGTTGCCTGCCTCCTGATGCTGCAACTGGGGAAGGCCCTTACTAGGGAGGGCCAAGGGGGGTACGACAGGAACAGTCTGTGAGGGACGGTCCCGTTGCTGTTGCTGGTGTTGCTGCGTTGCTCGCTCGTCGCCCACTGTGGACGCAGAAAAATTTTGTATTTTATCCGCACGATCCCCAGTTTCTGCTGCCAACTCCGATGCAGCTGCCGGCTCCGCTGGCGAGGGTAAGACAGACGGTGGGGTTCTGTAAGCCAGCCTTGGTGGTCTGAGCAGCAGCCTCAGCAGCAGCACGTTGCGCTCCAACAAAGCCCCAGCATCCAGAAACACGGGCTCCTGCTCTGCCTGGGACGCCGCGACGTCTCCCACAGGGCAGGCTCTAACGACAGGCCAACAGCGCGGCCCCTCTCGGTCAGGCCGCAGAACAGCAAACGACGCCCACGGGAGCAATACTTCCGGCAAAATAGGTAAACCCCGCTGCTCACAGCTCTCGAAAGCGTCTACTAGACGAAGGGTGCGCAGTCGAGCGTGGTCCTGCAGCAGTGGCAGTAGCACCAACAGAAGTGAATGCAACAACAGCACAGCCACAAAGCGCGACAAACATGCTCCCGCATTGCCTAGTTACAATTGAGGCGAAGACGCAGTGAAAAGTTTTCATAAGACCCTCAGCTTACCAATATATAGCGGGGAGCCTCCACTCCTTCCCACAAATACACAGCCCACAGGTGCTGCTGCTGCCGCTGTGGCTGCTGCTCTTCCGGCTGCAGCTGTTCCCCTTTTCTTGAGTCGGAAATATGAGCTTCGTAGCACTGTGCGCTGCTCCCGCTTCTTCTGCGTGCATCATCACGCGTGACCTGCCGCCGCTGCTGCTGAATGGGGGAGCAGCAAGCGCAGCAGTGCACGGCATGCCAGACGCTGTGGCGGCGGGTGTCTAGCGCGATGAGTGATTCCGCTTGAGATAAAAGACTCGCCACATCCCCACTCATCAGCTCTGCAGCAACCCTGCCGTTGTAATTTCCGCCGTCGAAGTTGCATTGAGGGTCCCCCGGTAAAGAAGGATTTCTCGTAGTTCCCCTGGCCCGCGGAGGGCTCAGGCTCCGTCGTCTCTCTGTTGGCCCCTCAAGAGTACTACTTACCTCTTGCTGCTGCTGCTCTGCAGTATATGCGTGAATTATCAAGTAGCAACTGGATGCGTCGGGGTGAGGGATATTTGCTCCGATGGTACGCCTCCACCCTTCTGAAGCCTGTCCTCGCTCCCCACCACTTTTCCCTCCGCCGGTTAAATTGACGTTTTCCGCAGGGCTGTCGCTGCGAATGCTGGTGGTGCTGCTGCTACTGCAGGGTCTCCTTAGCCCCTTATCGGTGATGTTCGAAGTGCCCGTAACCCCTTTGGGGGGGAACCCTAAAGGCAGGAGGGTCTCACAGCAGCCACACCTTCCTGGGGCCCCTATACGGCTCATTTTCCACGCAAGAAGCATCTGGTGTTGCTGCAGTAGACAACCTGAGAGGCTCTCAAGGCACGAAGATTCTATAGGTGCCAAGTGAGCGCTGGTAGATCCCCACTGCCTGAGCGCATGAATGACGGCGTCGAGAGTTCTGTCGCCGTCCTGTGCTAGCCACAGACTCATGGATGGCTTTTTCCCACTAGCTAAAGAAGCAGAAACTGAGCTAGGCCCCTCCTCTCTCTTCTCCGGAGGCGCCAGAGGTCCTGTAGAACGGTTAGGTTCAAGAGCAGGCCTCTCGAAGTGGACTGTGCTGCTTACACCTCCCATCTTCAAAAAGACGAAGCCCTGTTGAAGAAACGGATGGACTGTGGCCCCGCCGTGAGCTTGGGAAGTGGAGCAGTGCTCTAATGGGGACCCTGGAGAGTCTTGCGTGCCATGACGGCTTCAGTAAAAGGGGCACGGCGCAGCTGCGCGTAGTTCCGATGAAGAAATGCACACAGACCAAGGCCGAAGAAGTAATAAGGGACTACAGTACATGACAATGCGTATGCATCATTCGGTTATACCGTAAGGGGCCCCCAAGACCCACCAGGATTCTCCTCGCTGCGGTGGCAGCAGAGGGTGGGGCCCCTTGCTGCGGCGCCCAGCGCCTCTGGTAGAAACAGCAGCACTGTAAAGCAGCCAGAAATAGGGTAGTTGTCTCACTGCATTTGTCTGGTGGCCCCCGCATACTTTGCAGACGCCTCACTAGTGCAGTCACGCAGTTGGTATGTTGCGCTGCTGCAGCGTCAATAGGAGGCGTGGAGAGGGCTATGGGGGGAAGACGCCCTCTAAACCCTATGTAAATACTGAAAATAGTGGGAAACAAACAAGATCAAGTATAATTTGAGGCAGGAAGCGCAAAGGACTGTTGCTGCTGCTACTGCACCGCCCCTGCGGCAGCAGGAGGCGCGACCTGGCTGCTGCAGGTGTTTTGTATGTGTACGCCGGAGCTGGAGCCGTTGTTGCCCGCCGCCTCTGTCTTAGTGCTAGTGCCTAATGAAGTATATCATTAAGTCCTAAGCATGTTCGATAAGCCGTTTTTTTTTAGAGACAACAGAAAGGGCTGCTCAATCTGCTGTGCTGCCGTTGTTGCTGTGGCTGCCGCCGTCGTGGGGCTTTTGGTGTGCCTTTGTTGAAAGGGCACTTCAGAGGGGCCGAAATATGTACACCTATACGTCACAAGTCCACAAGAATTTGCAATTGCATTGCCGCTGTCTAATCCGCTTCCAAGTATTCCCCTTTGTGTGCAGACGCTTTCGCCGTCTGGAAGGCTGGCTAAACACGAGCGTGGACCAGGCCGCCGTTGAGGCCCCAGACCGGCAAAATTGTCGAGAAGAACCTTTGGTTTTTCTCTCTCAAATTCAAGAGCTCTTGGCTATTATGTTATGTAATGCAAGTATACACCCACTTAAAAGGTGTACTCGACTAATTTTCACCTCTTTGTGCATAGCGGGTCTCACGACCGCCGTGCCCATTGAGCAGGGCAGGGGGACCAGAGACCCCGGATGGGTCCATGCCTCGCATACTCTTTTTCTCAAGCAGAACATTCTAAGGCGTTGTAATTGGCTGTTGTAAACAGCGTTTGCGTCGCATGGGTCCTTCGGGCCAGCCTAAAGTGATTACTGCAGAGGCACCACCAAGTGCGGTGTGACGCTGTAGTTGCGGAGCTGCTTCATTCACGCATGCGTTTGTCTCTCATTGTTTATCATTAAGTGCTGCCCCCCAGATTTTTTAATTATCTTTAGGGCAGCTCGAGGTGGTGCGAAGGAGTGTCACCCGTTGCATCACAGCAGTAGGCCTTCCAGCAGGAAATCGTTGCAGTAGCACCACCAGCAGATGCGCACTGCAGCCCAAATCAACAATGCTAACTTACGGAGCCTCTCTAGAGGAGGTTCCTCCGGTGAAGGAGATCATCTTGGAGGTGCGAATGGCGTACATGGAGCTCAATCATGAGGCGATCGCCCTCATAGAAAATAAGAACAAGGTAAGCTTGACTGAATCAGGATCTTTCCTTCCTCAGGCGTCCTCTTTAGACTTGAGAAAATGAGGCTGATTGCTACCAGTGGCTGCCCCCCGCTACATATCTTGCTGCAGGTCTCTATCGCCTTCATGTATAAAGGAGAAGATCTCTCACATGTTTGCGGAGACGCTAGGAGAATATGCTACAGGGTGTTCCGGAAGAAGATAGACGACACCTCGGTGGGCACATGCAATGCGCTGAAGTTGTTTCCCCTAAAATCCAAGCTACGGCGACAACTCACATGCATTCTCCCCGCTATGAACATTTTTCTTCGCCTCTGTGTCGGTCACTGTAGGTTTTGTGACGTTTCTTCCAGGGCCTTTATTATATGTCTGTCCCTATGAAGCCGCCAAATTTGCTTCCTTTCAGGTTCATTTGACGGTCAACAGCATCTTTCAACTGCCCTTTTCTTCCACGTTTCCCATGGCTTCGCCAAGCTTGGAGCTATATGTGATGCTGGTATTAGAATTTCACGGATGTTCTATCAAAAGGAAAGATAAAGTGGCTATGTCTCTAGAGATAAAGTGACTATGCTTCAGCCTCTCGTGATTTAGACCCCTGACTCGGCGCTTAACTTCCGCATACCTGTACGTTTCCTATTCTGTACGTTTCCTATTCTGGCAATGTTTGCTGTCATTTTTATCCCATCAGGAAAGTCTGTCAAACCTTCGCAGATGTGTTGCCAGTGCAAGGATCTCCCTTGGGCGGCGCTGCAGAAGTCTTTCCTCTCTGCTCAGCACAAACAGCTATACCCTGTATTTAGGAACGAATTCTGTGACCGAAGCGGGTGAGCCTTCTCGTATTTTAAAGGAAGAACCAGGAATTTTCAGGGGCCGCAACTGCAGCAGTCTCCCTAGAATCCACGCGTTAAGACGCCCCTAGGCTCACTGCAGGATAGCATTTTTGCCTAGCGCGAACAAGCAGCCACTATGTAGGCTACAGGGAAATTGACGCCTGCGGCTTACACGTGATATAGGCAGCTTCCTGATGAATGTGCGTCTCGGACACACAAGCGTCAAAGCCAAGAGCTTCAGCTTTTACTGGAGTCAAGAATTGCGCTTGGGACTGGACGAACACAAACTAGGAAGGTATGCAAGCTTGTTGCTAGGGCCTGCTTGTACTAAATCAAGAATTCGAGCTCGACACTGAAGAACACTGTCTCAGTCGAGTACTGGCCCATGGTCACTGTGGGTATTAAAATACCTACGACTGTCTCCATGTTTGTGTTGGGGCCGCTCTCAGAAACTTTCCCAACTTCCCCACCAAAGCTGGCGAGGATGCCAGAGCCACTCTCACAATCCTGAGGCAAACACGAAAGACCCTCTTTGAGCACAGAGTTGGTGCCATATCTGTCGTAAGTCCGCGTTTTCTTGCTGCGCTCTGCCTGCTGCTTGCAAGAGTCTTCCAGAATCTTCGGCAGGAGCGCAACGGCCAAAGCTGGTTCTCGCGCCCTTCTTTCTGTTGCCACGAAACTAAAATATTCTGCTGTTTTTAAAACATGTGTGGTCTGCAGCCAGTTTCGAGAAAACCGGAATTCGACCTTAAAGGCCTTACCGCCCGCATAGACGAGCTCCTCGTTCAGATGGAAAGAGACGGGATCATTGTTGTCCCCATGATAACCCGGCTAAAGGCAGGCACGTTGAAAGCACGTCAATGGCCCTCTTCCTGTAGAAGTACCATAACCAAACCCCTTGCGGGAGTCCGAGATGTTTTGTTCGTGTCGACACTCCAGTTTCTGTCCTGCGGCACTTCTGGTATGCATTGAGGACTGGTATTCTGCCTTTGTTGTCAGGGGACTGCTCTGCTAATCGTTTTGCATCGTTTTTTTTGGATAGTCATCCTTACCGCATCCTTGCAACTACTCCTATCCCGTTCTTTAGCCCTGACACGGTTATGAAGGCCATGGACGCTTCCATACATGAGCGAACGAGTACACACGGTGAGTTCCTGAGCATGCTTATTCTATCGTTAGGATGTATGAAAAGGCCAGCGTCCACTGACCGGACGCACCTGCAGCTCCATCGACCTGCCGTTCTGTGGTCCTTACTACCTCTGCAGGGTTCTTGGGATGGGACCGATGCTTGTCCAACACATTCGACTATCTGTTGGACAGAGCGGCTTTCCTTGACAGCACAACACCATCCAAGTCTGGCCTCTGCCTGGTAAGAACAGGTTCTGTGCTTCTCTCTTCTGTGTCTGTGGGTAGAGGTTCTTGGCCCTCACAAAAACAGAAATTTCCTGTTTCCTTCCAGTTGCGAAGCTTCTTGCCTTTATAATTCTTCCCTATTGTATGTGGGCGATTTCGTTGGTGCAGGCGTCGAACACCAGTCTACATAAATGCGTCCTGAGCACCTGCCAGGCAGTTTCTTGTGCGTCAACGTACTCCTTTTATGCGGCTCAGTTTGCCGTGCAGATTCTTGAGGAGGCGATTTTCGAGCCGACTGCAGACAGCGTTCTAATTGTAAGCCGTTCTGGTCTCAATACTGTAGACCCCAAAAACAGATTTCTAGGTTCCAATGTAGAGAATTCGGAAAAAATGTTACTTCTGAAGGGGAGAATGTCTTACGAATTGCATTAACTCCATATTATCTTTTTGTCTATGTGCCCTGTATTCCCCTCTGCCTGGCTTGTTGCAGGGAGCTCTGCCCTTTGACAGCACCCAGGAGAGCACTGACTTGAAAAAATTCGAACAGGCGGATACAGATAGAGGAGACCATAGCTCACAAAAGGACGGGCCCGATAAGAAACCAGTTCTACCTCCCGTGAAGCACACTCATCTCAGGGAGATTCGCAGCAGCATGGACACCTGGAGACACCGATGCTATTTCCGCAGACTCCCTTCGGAGCATCCACTCCAGATATTCGCACTTTTCAAGCGTGATCAGGTTAGCTTGCTTGTTCGCCTATTATTTATGCTCTTTATACGTATCTCGTTCCTTAGTAGGGTGACCCACGTGAGTCTCTTTTCTTGAAGCTTCTCCACATTCCCTGCAGAACTAGAGTGCTGAATTCGTCCCTATGCGTCGGGTGTGCGCATTGATATCTACAGCTGTTTGTGAGCCGACAGGCCATTGGTCAGTCTCGCTCAGGCATCCTCTTGGCCATACTTGTCCTTGGAGACGAAAACGTTGATGTGGAAGAGGCGAGCAAGTTAGTTCTTGTTTTGCAACTACTCGGGAACCGTCCCTCACCTTGCCACTAGCACTGTGTGGACAACCGAGTAATCTGCCTGTGCTTTCTTGTGGGCCGCACTGACGCATTAATG